TGTGAGAGCGGGAATAAAATATTGCTGTTTGAATCTCCAAAGTGTGGGTGCCTCCTGAATCTTGTGCCAAGCCCAGACCTTGGCATTTAATAAATCGTGATTTAGCAGATACTATTATGAAATTGATTCCTATAAGAATCATCAATGAATACTAAAACTCATGGGTGCAAGTTTGAGAAGGAACAAGAAACTTAGACTGCTTGAAAGTATGTCTGTATTAATTAAACATTTCAAAAGAAGAAAATTACAGGGGAGAAACGAAACAGGCACAACCTTCAAGAATAGTATCAATTAGGAGATGGAACAATATTACGGAATGGAATGTATGATGTATGGAAAAGCCCACATCATGTCTTGGTATCCAGTTAGGTTTTCATAACCTGAATATAACGATAAGGAAAACAAAATTGAGGGCATTCTATAAAATAACTGGACCAAATTCTCAAAATGTGCATCATGAAAAACAAAATGAAACAAAAAGGCTAAGGAACTGCTTCAGGTTGAAGAGCTACATTGGCTAAACACAATGTGTGACGGTATGGGATACTGGACTGGGAATAGTGATAGAGAAAGTCATTGAAAACACTGAATTGGAGTGTGTACTGTTGACTAGTTATTAATATTTTAACATTTTGATTTTCTTAATTTTTAAAGCTAGAGTACCTATTATAAAAAAAAAAGAAAAGAAAATGTTATTGTTCTCAGAAAATGCATGCTAAAGTATTTAAAAGTGAAGGAGATAAAGTCCACAGCTTCCCCTTCATTGAGTTCAAAGAAAAATCAGTTATATATAGTTAATTATATATGTATATACATACACACACACATATATATATATATATATATGTATACATACACATGTGTATAGATAGAAAGAAATGCAGATATGGTATGCAGATAAACATAGATGTATGTGTCTTTGGGGAAGGGAGGATTTTTTTGGCTGTTGTGCTGTGGAAGTATCTATATATCTGTGTTTACACTATTATTTGATTCTTATATTCTGGACTTTATGATTTCTACACTCAAAATTAGATCTTCTCTACCAACTTTAAAGCATCCTGGATTTTAATTATTGTAGTTTCATCCAAGTCATCTTTCTGAAGTGTTACTTAAATGATCACATTCCTTGCTTTTCATGGTAATTCCTATTTGCTAAAACCAAAAATATTTTAGGAGAGATGTACGGCATAGTGGTTAAGTCCCCAGTATTTGAAGATGAACTGATCTAATTTGGAGATTCATATCTTTATTCTGGTGATTCTGTCCAAATGATAATTGTAGATGGTTTTTGTCTATCTATGCCGGAGCCCAGACCTTGAGGGATGTAAAAAAATTCCAAATACAGTTCCACATAGCGGCACTCCCATGACGATATTTTCATATGCCTTATCAACCCAAGAAATTAAGAAAAATGTAAAAGATATTTACAAATATGAACATATTCAATTTAAAGAATTTTATTTGAAAATTGTGTCTTCTAGATTATTTTCTAAAGATTAACATTATTTAACATACAAATATTCTTTTGAAGTGATGGTGAGAAAAAATGATACTAGGTTATTTGTTTTAATATTTTATTTGGCCAAATGAAAAACTTTTGGTCTTCTCATTTGTATTTCGCTGATGTATACAATCCTAAATCCTAGGAACCATTAGAATAGACAGCTCAGCTTCATAAGTTTGTATGTTTGCAGGAATTAAAACTATATAAACTTTTAATATTAAGGGCAGCAAATATGTCCTGGGATTGCATATGCTATCCTGTGTGCAATGGGATTTCATATTATTATGTAAGTAAATTAATGTGTTTCTTAATCACCATGAATTGAATAAAGTATTCATAAAAAGATTGCTCTAGTAAGTTACAGCTGCTAGTATGGTTCTTCCTGGCCCATGGGAATATTTCACTGATGTTGTCAATTAATATTGATTCAATCAGTGTGGCAGCAAAAGCACTAGGAAAAACAAAATATTCTAAGCAGCCAAGTATAGCTGAGAAAGTTGTACACTAAGATGTTCTTAAAATCACAAGTAGGTAATCTGCAATGTCACCTGATTATCCAATATTGCTTGAGTCTCTTATTGTTCCCTTAGAACCTCTTCATGTTAGAAGGTAATGGTCTCTTACTTCACCAAGAAACAGGAGGATACAGTCACAAATTTCTTTGACTTCTTTTTTTTTTCAGATTCAGATTCCAAGTTTATTTATTTTTTTTATTTTTTTATTAGTTGCTCAAAACATTACAATGATCTTGACATATCATACATTTGATTCAAATGGGGTATGAATTCTTATTTTTCCACGTGTACAGATTGCAGGATCACATTGCTTATACAGCCACGTTTATACATACAGCCATACTAGTGTCTGTTGTATTCCGCTGTCCTTCCTATCCCCCTTCCCTTCTCCTCCCCTCCCATCACCTCTCTCTACCTCATCTACTGTAACACATTTCTCTCTCTCTTTTTTTTCTTCCCCCTCACACCATCTTATATGTAATTTTGTGTAACAATGAGGGTGTCCTTCCATCTTCCGTGCAATTCCCCTTCTCTCTCCCATTCCCTCCCACCTCTCATCCCTGTTTAATGGTAATCTTCTTCTTTGACTTCTTTACTACACAGTGAAAAATGGTATCCAAGTCCTTTCCCATCCCTTCCCTTGACTCTCCTTCCCTTTTCTTCCTTTCTCCTCTCTTTCCTTTGCTTCCTCTCTCTCCCTGTTCTTCCCTTTTCGCTCACTTTACATCTGTCCCTCCCTCCTTCCTTTCTCTTCCTCCCTCCCTTGGTCCTATTCACAAAATAGTTTTCCCATTCATTTCCACATTATTTGATACCTTGCTCCATCTGTTCCCCCTTTCTTATATCTCTCGCTCTTAACTGATCATTTTTATTTATGTCTTTCATTTTTATGCACTTTCAATTTTTTCTCATCTTGAAAAATAACTTTGGTTAACCTTGATGCATCTTTTTCCAGTATCCCATTATATCATTCTTTTAAAGATTACCTTAAAAAAACAGGGCTCTATACAAACTTTCTACAATCTTGGTTAAAATTAAAAGACATATAGGTCTCAGTAATATTTGTGAGAAAATTTGGCTGTGAATAGTCCTGTTAACATAAGCACTTTGCATTTCAAAACACTGTGCTAGTTATTATACTTCCCATTACCATTATGACAAAAAAGCTAGAAGATATTAAAGGTGGACACAGCAACAAAGAACAATACCCATATGGAACAATGCTGTGCAAACTCAGTTTCTGATTATCACAAATTACATCTCCTGGGTTCTCTGTTTACTTAGAAGGGCATGATGCTCCCAGAGGTATTTAAGTCTTTATTGCAATTTGTTGTTTTTATTGTTTCCTCTCATATGACTGTAACCTTTACTTATGAGAATACAGAAACCAGAAAGTTCTTAAATAAATTTACAGGAAATTATATTTTTAAGAATAAATTCCTTATGAAAATAACTGTTATATAAAGTTTAAATGTCCCACTAATATGCCAATGCACTCATTCCTTCTGTGTTAATTAAACTTGACATTATGTATGTGTGATTATTTGTTGTAAAGTGCTAAGGCAGGTCATATCTTTGTCCTTCAAGCTCTTTAAGATAAATTGTGCCTCTCTCAGGTTCAAATATGAAACCAATGATGAATCTTATTCTTCAAAGTACCATTTCTTTCTCTTTAATGCTTTCAGAATTGTGTTTACCAGTTTACAGGTAGCTGAACTCAACCATCTTTATTTTATAAGGCTTCATCATATTTATAGATCTTAGAATTTGATGGTGATGAACCTTACTACCTGCTCTTTAAAATTGCGTGCCCCCCCCCCTCTTTTCTTTTTCTTTCCATAAAACTACACCATCCTTGCCTAGCACTGTGGTGTGTGCCTGTAATCTCAGTGACTGCAGAGGCTTAGGCAGGGTGATTGCAAGGTCCAAAGCAGCCTCAGCAATTTAGTGAGACACTTAGCAACTTAATGAAACCCTATGTCAAAATATAAAAGGACTGGGGATATACCTCAGTGGCAAGGTAACCCTAGGTTCAATCCCCATTAAAACAAATAAACACCCTACACCATCCTAGGCCTCCTCTCTTATCTTTGAGTCTTTGCTTTTACCCTTTACTGATTTTTTTCTCTCCTTTTGGATTTGTACTGCAGCATTGATCTTTTAGATGAAATGATGCTGCAGTTCCAATTGACTTTTAATACTGACAGATTCGGCTGCCACACTCAATCTTTCCAAAACTAATGTCTCCATATTCTAATTCTTGGTTGCCAGAAATCCACCTGCTTTCCCAACATCTGTTATCTTCAAATTATTATTCTAATTCAACAAAAGAAATAAGTTTAAGTTACCGAGTCTATTGAGGAATGGATGAATAACTATATAAGAATAGAGAAGGTTATAACTGGTAACTTCTGATCTGAGTTATAAAGAATAGGAAGGGTAGGACAGCCCTCACAGTAAAAATGTCCTGGAATAGTGGTTAAAAGCATACGTACACTCTAGAGGTATATCACCTGGATTCAAATACCTCTCTTTGTCTCAATTTTATTATCCGTGAAATGGTAATAATAATTTCTGTGAAGACTCAATGAGTTAGTAGAAGTAACAATTTCAGATCAACAGTTTCACATAGATAATCATGACTGTATAAGTACGTATTTTGAGAATTATAACCCAAAACAAATGAAAATGAGCATCAGGTAGGCATGTCTAAAGCATTTGCAATGGTTCAGTATTTACTACAGTGAGAAATGAATAGTGTCAGTAACTGGGATATAAGAAGGGTCATGATAAAGGGTCTTAACTGCATGGTGGGAGCTTTGCTGATGAAGACTGTTGGAAGGTTTGTGAAGGTAGAGCAGGGAGGTGGGGCGTGGGCGGGTTTTAACTTTTAAAGTAAAAGAAATAGAAAGCAGAGACACAATTTAAGAAGCTACTGAGAGAAGACAGGCATTGAATAATAAGACAAAAGCCTGAAATTACCTTTTTCATCTGTCTTTTACCCAGTGAAACCAACCCTAGCTTTCAGTATTCAGTGAGTGCTGTCTTGTATTTTATTATTGGAAGAGGGTTTTCTATCTTGTGAATTTCCATGGGATTTTGAAGTATATGTCCAACTTGAAACCTTAAAGAAAGTAGAAGAAAAATATGAATGACTATGGTAAAACAACATGAATAAGCCAGGACTCTTCCAGGCAACCAGGACATGAGAAGCTACTTTACTGCCCTTAATCTGCCTTGCCATGACATTTGGAGTGCAGAATGCCTCTCTTCTTCTCTTTCCCTCATCTTCCACTGTGCTCATGTGGTGCCTGAGAGGCAAAGATGATTCTTTACAGTCCTTCGATAAATAGGGTGCTCAGTAGGTATTTAGTAAATGAGAAAAGTGGTTATCTTAAAATTATTTGAAATAATTCTTTTGAAAAATTATTTATCTTTCTAAAATATTTTTCCTTTACTTACATCCTATACAAGAGGTCTGTCATTATGTGCAACATGTGTAAAGTAAAAGCATCATAAGATTTGCAAATAAAAATGAACTTTGGTATATTATAGTCATATTGACTATATACAACAAAACTTAAATGAATGTGTATTACATGAATTAAAGTACATGCACTACCTACAAAGAAATAGACACAGAATTATGTGTGGGAATAGGTAAAAAAAAGTATATTTTTATACATTTATATATTGTATTTATAGATATTTTTAAGACATGAATCCATAAATTAATTTAACTCTTTGGAACGTAAGGGTTGTATATTACTCACCTCATTCTTCCCTGTGGTGGAACTATTGAGCTTGCCATTTTAAATTTATTCTTCTAAAAGGAATTAGTTTTTCTGGATCTTGTTTTCTCTTCGACATGACTTGGCCTCATTCTTATCTGCATTATTAATGTTCATCTTTCATCAAGGATGGTGAAGAAATGTCTTGTTCAGCAGGATTTCTTGCAGTTACAGAAAACAAAAATTTCGAAAGACAAACAAATTGTGCCTTTGGTAAGTCTCAGCCATAAGTAAAACTATTTGCTCTACCTTAGGGAGAATGTCTATCGAATTATTCTAATAAGCTGAGACAGATGAAATTGTAGAGAAGAGAGTAACTGTTAAGTTTTTGAATGTATGAACATATAAAGAAGTAGATGGTAGAATTTAGAGCAAGTGGTTAAAATACCCAGAAACATTTCTCTCAGATAAGAAGAAAATGAGAAATGACATATTTGTATGCAGTAGCAGTTGTCCTATCTGTCATAGGCTATGATTTGATAGCATAAAACTAATTAGACTTGAATTATATGAAATTTTGTATGAAACTAGCCAGGTATGTCTCAGAACAGTATGACAGTTCCCTTTCTCCACACCAAAATCTAGATATTTCCATGGCCTTTTAATTTATGCCTTAAATTTCCAAATCAATAGCATGGAAACTCCAGTAGTGTTCCAAGTCTCTGGGCCTAGTACATAATCCTTCTCACCTTTCAGTATACTTAGAATAGTTGTTGTTGTTTTTAACTCACCTAATTATAAAATGTAGATGCATGCATGTGTCTGTTTGCTAACACTTAGAATGAGACAGAAGACAGCTATAGGAAGCTCTCCCAAGACCACTGTTATCAGGCAAATTTAGGAAGCCCTTGTTTTGTGGTAGGTAGCCAGGTAAGTTTCAAGAAACCCATCCTCAGTTGACTGTGGTATGCAATCAATACAACAATCAAAAGTCAGAATGTGCTGGCGTTACTAAGTAGCTATTCTGAGTCAGAGTTTAGTTCTGAATACTATTACAGGCTCAAGGACTTCTCAACAACATGGTTGAGTAAATTTTTAAAAAATAGCTTACTCTTTAGCATACATGATTTGTATTTACTAATAGAAAAGGTGCTCTAACTTCGGGGACACAATGATTTCATACTGAGCTTTGCAAAAAAGCCCATCTTCCTGCCCTGAGTGAAATACCTAAGCATTGGGATGAAGAATTCCACAAATAGGACATTGGAACTGTCCCAGGCAACTGGTGGTCATTTATGATCTGATCTACCATTATAAAAGAGATCATGGAAGAAAAATGAAGTCCAAGTTACATTACTATTCCAAATAGGGAACTACTGTCTTGGCTGGGATGATATTTTATGATAAACAAAATAATTAAATAGTAATGATGGTTTTTACTTACCCATAAGTCTTGCCTAATTCTTCATAGGTCTTTGTGTCAGGCATATACAATTTTTAGAAATTCGTATAGTTTTCTTGGTTGGGCTGTAAAAATAATACATATCTATTATTGAGGAAAAAACCTAAAATAGTACAAAAAATATAGAGTACTATTGTCCTACTCTGCACTTAGAATACTTTCTTAAATTAGACAAACATTTTTTATTATTATAAGTAATACTTTATATATTATCCTATGTCTTGACTTTTTAAATTATTATGTCTTGGGTATTTTTCCATGTGGCACATATAAATGTAGCTCTTTCTTTTTAAATAACACAGAATATTATAGACTTAATCAACCAAGCACTTATTAATGAACAATAAGATTTTTCCACTTTTGCTCCGTATCAAGTAAGGGGGTAATGAATATAATTGTTCCTGAACAGCAATCTGTGTTGTACAATCTATGAGCATTTCTGTTGGATAAATCTATGAGATTGAATTTTTACATGAAAAACATTCAGTCTATTTTATATTACATAGTGGATTAGATGTAGGTGATTCTCCTTAGAACAAAAGTCATTATAGGATGCTGTTTATATTTTTGTCATGTAACATCTCTTCTAGAACAAATGGTTCTACAGTCATAACATCTGTGAGGGCAGAAACCATGTCTGTCTTCTACTGTATAGGACAATGCCTGGCATCGAACTATTTAAAAAGTTGAAATGACCTACAAACTTGAATAGAACTTGTACCCTGTGCTGGAAACTTCCTTAAAATATCTTGAAATTTAGGAAAATAGAAACATAAAGCCAATAATACAATCTTTTTAAGTGAACCTGCCACAAAATGGTATGCACAATAATATCATTTTTTTAGATGGTGGGAAGCTGCATAAACATGATTGCTTGAAAAAATAGCTGACTTGAGAATGAAAGTGAAGACAGTTTTAAACTGAAGAGTTAAGGTGTCTAGGATGATAAAACTGAATACAGAGACTAGGGACTTATATACAACAGAGATTTGTTTCTCACATTCTGGAGAATGGTAGTCTTAGATCAAGGCTCTAGCAGATTTTGGTATTTGGTGAGAGGCCACTTCTTGTTCATAGGTGGCCATCTTCTTACTATGTCATCACATGGCAGAAGGGTATAGAACCCTCCAGATCTCTTTTATAATGACACTAATCTCATTAATAATGGTTCTACCAAACTCTCCCATCAGATACCATCACACTGAGGGTAGGATTTCAACACATCAACAACCAGTCTATAACATTCCACACCTGTCCCCTCCCCTAATTTATGTCTGTCTCACATACAGAATATATTCATTCCATGCTAATAACCACAAAAGTCTTAACTCCTTCCAGTGTCAACTTTAAAGTATAATACCAAAGTCTCACCTAAATGAGATACAAGTGAGTTTCAAGGTAGAATTCACTCTGAGAAAAAATTCCTCTCCTGCTGTGAACCTATGAAACAAAACATTATGTACTTCCAAAATGCAATGACGGGACAAGTATAGAAGAGGCATTTCCATTCCAAAAGGAAGCAATAAGAAAGAAACCTGACAAGTCTCAAGTGCCAAATCTAACAGGGCAGATGACTTTAAAACTTAAGGCTTGGGAATAACCCTCCTCAGTATCTACTCAGATAGGAGTCCCACCTTCTGGACACAGAAGGACACCAATTCCAGCCCCATGGTTTTGGGTGGAAGCTCTCTTGTCCATTTAAAGCAAGACAATGGTCTCCCCTCAACCCTTTAGAAATTGAAGAGTCAGGCCCGATGATCTCTGAATTGCCTTCAAGTCACTCTTCCTTTCTCTTGAATAATAACACATGTTCACTGTTAGATATGTCGTATGATCCTGTCCAGTAAAATCTAAGAAGTCCAACAGTTTTCCTCTGCTCTTTCTCACCTCTTTTTCCTCGGTTCAAACTGTCAGTTTTTCTATTAGGATGACTGACTAAAGTCATGGTTCATACTTTGTCAAAGGATTGCGTGACCACATCCTTAGTGTTTTCTCCCAAACAGGTTGTCTTACTGTTTTTAATATGGCTAGACAGAGAATTTTCCAAATGTTCAATTCTGGTTCTTTTTTCTTACGTCATTTCTCTGTTCTCAAATTTTACGGTAAGCAATTGGGAGAATTAGGCTGCTTCTTCAACACTTAAACTTTAACATGTAGGGATTTCCTTCAGCAGATACCTAATTTCATAGCTTGCAAGTTCTACCTTCCACAAAACAATCAAATATGAGCACAATGGAGGTAATTTTTTTTTTTTTTTGCCATTCTACAACAAAAATCTCTTTTCCTCCAATGTCTGACAGCATGTTCCTCATTTCCAACTGAAACCTCATCAGAATGGCCTTTTCAGTCCATATTCCTACCAACATTCTATTCAGGATGACTTAGGGAGACTCTTAAGAAGATTGAAGCATTCTCTATCCTTTTCTTCTTTTCTTTCTGGGCCTTCATCAGAATCACCCTTAACAATCATAGTAATATAGCCTTTTTGTTGCCTGCACCTCAAAATTCTTACCAATCCCATCCATTATTAAGCTCCACGGCTGTTTCTGCCTCTTTAGATATTTATTATAACAGTGCTTCCTGTTATATTGTTATATTTATTGGCACAAATATTTTATTTATTTATTTATTTATGTATTTATTTATTTATTTATGTGTGTGTGCATGTCCATAGCAGAACACCATAAACTGAGTGATCTGAAAAGAAAAAAAAAAAAAGATTTAGTTCTCACAGTTTTGTAGGCTGTAAGTCTGTTATCAAAGCTCTAGCAGACTTGCTGTCTGAAAGTGCTGTCTTCCTTATTCATGTATGTCCATCTTTTTGCTGTGTCCCCACTGTGTAGAGGTGAAGTAGATCTCCAAAAGTATCTTTTAAGGTCACTGCTGTAATTGATATCAGATTTGTCCCCCAAAAGCTCATATGTAGAAGTCTTGGTCCCCAGTGCAGCAGCATTCTGAGAGGTAGGGCCTTTGGAAGGTGATCACATCATGAGGGATCTGACCTCATCAGGGTTTTAATTTTTTTGGTGAGTTCATAATTTAATGGGCTACTGTGAGGTGGTGAAAATGTAGATGGTAAAGGCTAGCTGGAGGAGATATGTCATTAGGGGTGTGCCCTTAAAGGCTGTTTTGTTCTTGGCCTCCTCTTAGCTCTCATTGCTTCCTGGCCAACATGGGATGTGAATCTTTACCGAATTCTCCCAGCCCATGATGTTCTGCCTTGTCACAAGCCCATGGTAATGGGCCCAAGTGACCACAGACTGAAACCTCTGAATCTTTTAGACAAGATCTTTTGTTTCTCTCAGTGATTTTGTCATAGTGTTGGAAAACTGACAAGCTAAGGCGCTGATATCATTCATGAGGGCTCAGCTACCATGACCTAATCACCTTCTCCAAAAGTCCCACTTTTAGAAGTCATCACATTGGAAGTTATGATTTCAATGTATGAATTTGGAAAAGATGTAAATAATTCACACTATGCAAATACTACTGCACATTTGATGCTACTCAATTCCTACTTGTCCTATGTATTGATAAGTAAGAAACATAATTCAATTACCTATGAAGAAGTATACTTAAAAGAAGTTAATCTCATTCAGTAATAAGGTTTTTATTTTAAAACAATGAGATTATAGCACATTATTTCTCAGATAAAAATTATCTCTATTTTTTTACATTACAGTAGCAAAACATGAATTTTGTAACAAAATCAACACTACAGAATTTACATAGAAAATGAGAGGCCTAAAGCTGTATACTGTTAAAACTTATTTCATACTATTTTGAAGAATTGTGATTATACATAACCATAAATCAGAAAATTTTACTTAACCTTTCAAACTTCTAAAACTACTGTTTCTCAATCACTTTTCCAGAAGCCCAGAAATAATGTTTTCTGAAAGAATGTTTAATACCTGACCCAATCATTTCTCTTTCCCATATATTTGAAAATAAGAATTTTCAAGATCCATTCTAGTTTCAGAACATTATTTTACTGAGAATAAAGCCAATTTCTGGTGTTTAAAAAAACAAACGACCATAATTAACATGGTAAATCAAGTAAAACTCACATGAGTTTTGTAAATTTTTGAAACAATAGACAAAGGATATTTCCTCAGCAGGAATAACTGCTCTCTATGTATTGATTTGCTGTAATAATTGTCTGGAGAGAAAAGATATAATAGATATAACAATATAATATATATATATATGACAATATAATAGAAGGTCATCCAGTTATTAAAAAACTGGAGAAGATGGTTTTCCTCAACTCTGCTCTATGAAGATATGTGTCATCAGAATCTCATGACTCAGTCTTTTAATTCACCCTAAAATAGAACCACACTCTAGAACACCAAGGAAAAAATTTAGTCTCCTTGGTATTGTCTGAATTATATTTGGAGATGAATTATGTATTTTAGGGTCTGCCACGTTCAGGGACAAATCTCCAGGGCTTTTCCTGTACCAATAGTTTGGGGACACACCTTTGTCCAGACCTAAGCTAATTTATTTTCAGAAGCCATTAAAGGTTTTGATTTTAAACCTCATTGACATGTCCCTTCGTGTGCAACTTCACTTATCTACAGGGAAATGATGACGCTCCATATTTTCTTACTATTGACATTCCAAAACGGTACAGCCACATACAACCTTCATATGCTAGACAAAAGCCTACTATTAGTAGAGCATCTAAATTCATGTTTGTGTGAGTTATATGAGGAGGAGAGTTTGGTCAATAAATAGCCTTAATACCAAATATTAAGTCTTTTACTAACCCAATGACTCTCAAAATATGATCCCAAGATGAGCAGCATCAGCATCATTTAGTTACTTGTTAGAAATTTATATATTTGTTTATCCCCACTGACATAGAACCTTTGCAGGTGGAGGCACAGCCCCTGCATTTACCTCCTCCTGGGTGGTTCTGATGTACACTCAAGTTTGAAAAGCACAGCTCTAAAAACCTTCTTTGTTTTATGCATGGGGCAACAATGTCCCCCAGTGGCCAAAAACATGTATATTATTTTTTTGAAGTAAATATTTTCATACATTGTATTTAAAATTATCT